GAAAGTAAGATGATCAATTTTCAAGTGATTTATAAATTCCATGACCGATGTTAATCTGTAGTGTTATTGCTTGTATGACACAGTCGTTGATTGGACCGAATTGATCAGTCTCTGTTGGCATATGGGCTACTGTGAGGATGCCTCGATATTGCCTGTGTTTTAATTATGTATAATAATGATAAGCAGTGGAATCCAGGATGCGCATTTCGTCCTATTTGGGACTCATTGGTCAGCTGGATATACCTGCCTCCCAGTGAGTGTTGTTCCCACCGGGACTCAGGAGCAATCGCCATCATGGCTCGGTGGTGTAGTGGATAACGCTGTGGCGTTTGGAGAGATCGCTCCCAAATCCCGGTGGGAACAACATCACTCACTGGGACGCAGATGCATCCAGCTGACCAATGAGTCCCAAATAGGACGAAATGCGCATCCTGGATTCCACTGCTAGCTACTGCCCATCATTACTATACATCATGTTACGATTTGCTGTGTAAGCCACAGCTTCTTCAGTAAAATATGCAGAATTTTATTAGGATCAAAATATTTACTGTCAAATGACTATTATTAGTAGTTTCTCCCTGGGTTCCTAGTAGAACATAGGACTTCAGTAGCACACCTCCATTCCACTCTCCAGTTCTCTGCAGTCTTTCGAACCTCTCTACACCACTACCAACAAGCTTTCATTTCTTCCTCACACCTTCTCTCCTCCATATCACCCTCGACTCCGACTCCCCTACCCAACTCGTCGTTTCCCCACTGCATTCCACTCGACAACCTGGCCTCACGCGTCATGTCTCCAATCCACCTTCTCAGTGGATGCTCAATCCAATCCATCTCCACTTTCGTCTCCTGCATATTTGTTGCATGATAGCTTCTCGCTTCATTGGTTCATAGCCAGTCAGCCAAAGTGAGATCCTTGTTGCTTATTCTTATTATTCTGGTCATCCATCTGATCTGATCTGATCTGATCTTCAGGATCGAGTGAGCGTAGGTGGCAGCTGTTGATGATGTATGTGTGTAGTTTGTTGGAAATGCCTTTCGTGACACGTCAAGTCTCTCAACCATCAGATAGAAGCACTGACTTACTTGACTAGATTGGTGTTGAAAATCGGGATGTTGTTGACGCTTTATGCTGAGTGCAGTGTAGTGCAGAAGATCTCCACACTGGTTTCATATTGATGAAGGAAGGTCTGTATTGCTGTCTTTCCGATTGTGATTGGTTTCGACATCCTCGTGTGTGTCTGTGCCGCCTGGAGTTGAAACGATGCTGTCTACGGTAGGTAGGTGAAAGAGACAACTTTCTTTAGGTTTCTCCCATTGATGGTGATTCGTTGTTGTTGTTATTAGTTGGGTATCTTCATCACCTCTATCTTCTCTACGTTCCCGTAAAGGAAGTCCCGTCTTCACTGCCTCGCCTCTACCGCCAACTTGTTAGTTTTCGCTTGTAGATCTTCGAGTTTGTACGACAAGACATTAGACATAAATAATCATCGGCGGCGAGATCTAAATCTTCTAGGCCACATTAGAATCAAATAAATATTCTATAGGCTTGTTTATCAGTTCAATACAACTAATGGGAAGTAGTAATATCACATTCAATTTTCAATGTGGGAGAAACATAATCAACAATTAGATTTACTAAGTGATCACTATAAACCGGGATGAAATAAAACAGGTTATAATGGATTCTATCTGTCTATCCCTTTACTATCTATGAAGATAGTAGTAGTACTTGGTGTTCTATTCGTTTGACCAATAATATTGTACACAAATATTTTGGTAATAAATGTACGATAAAAACATTGGTGTCATCTATGAGGATACCATATTGGAAAGGTACTTCTGAATAGATTAGAAGAGTATGCGCCTCGCTTGGTACTAAAGTCTATTTTAAACCTTGAAATTCATTAGAAAAGATCTTACTCGGAGTGTAAGATACAATTCGTAAGATGATACAGAACAATTGTGTCCATAAAAATTGAATGTTTCGAATGTGAAGTAAGTTGTGTTGAAGAAGATTGAAAGTGCTTACAAGTTAGACTAAATGACTACAAGTTATCTGTACAAAACATCTATCAAATAATCAGGATAAATTGAAAACATTTGGAAAAACGATCAACAATGTTGTTATGCATGTAAAGAATCTCAGGTGATTACATCATTGACTTTGACAATCTAAGTAGACATATTGGAGAGAGGTTTTCATTGGCATGAAGAAAGATTAACTTCTGAGGCCCTGTATATTTTAACAACATCAAATGCTACTATGAACAGAGGAGGAGCAATAGACTTGTCACCTATTTGGAGAGTCGATTATGATTCAAGTGAAATAAAAATCTAGTCAGCAGTCGGATTTCATAATTCATTTAGTAGAGATCGAAGAGGAAACCGGGTGGTCACTGGTTCGAATCCGGTCGTTGTCCAAATTTCCATCTGACTTTCAATTATCATCTAGTATAGTCTTAATCAAGGCTGCCTACTATCCCCCATAATATTCCTGATTGTGGTCGACTGGATCATGCAACAAACAGTGGAGAGTGAGAAGAGGGGGATAGGCTGGCTGGACTGCGGGAAAGAACCTAGAAGACTTGGATTTCGCCAGTGATGACTTGTGTCTGATGTCACATAAACTCGAAGATCTACAGGCAAAAACTAACAAGTTGGCAGAAGAGGCAGCGAAGACGGGACTCCAGGTGAATATAGAGAAGACAGAGGTGATGAAGATACCCAACCAACAACAACAACAAACTCCAATCACCATGAACGGGAGAAACTTATAGGAAGTAGCCTCCTTCACTTATCTAGGAAGCACTGTTTCAATTACAGGTGGGACAGACGAGGATGTCAAAGTCAGAATCGGAGAAGCAAGACAGGTGTTCATTAACCTGAAACCAGTGTGGAGATCGACTTCACTGCACTCAACATGCGGAACAAGATACGGATTTTCAACACCAATCCAGTCAAGTCAGTGCTTCTGTATGGCTCAGAGACTTGGCGCGTCACGAAAGGCATTTCCAATAAACTACACACATTCATCAACAACTGCTTACTCTGGCTCGCTACTGAAGATCAGATGGCCAGAATAATAAGAATAAGCAACAAGGAGCTCTGGGAACGAACCAACCAAGAACCTATCACGCAAAAAATATGCACTGGAAGGAAGTGGAGATGGATTGGGCACGCACTGAGAAGGCTGACCGGGGACATCACGCGTCAGGCCCTCGAGTGGAACCCCCATGGGAGGCGACGAGTTGGACGTCCGAGGGTGACATGGAGGCGATCGTGAGAGGAGGAAATGCGAGCTTCTGGGCTGTCGTGGAACCAGGTTCAAAAGATTTCAGAGAAGAGAGTGGAATGTAGACGTGCTACTGAAGCCCTATGTTCCATTAGGAACCCAAGGGACTAACATATAGTATAATATATAGTCTTAATCACTCAGGTTGGACACAAAAACGAGCTAATCACTGACCTAAGTTCACTAAATATATTTGATGTATCATTTGACAGTCGAACAAGTTGACAAAGGAGGCAGGGAAAACCAGACTTCAAGTGAATGAAGAGAAGATGGAGGTGATGAAGATATACAACCAATCACCATTAACGGTAGGAACCTAGAGATAATAGTTTCTTCCACCTATCTAGGCAGCATCGTTTCAACTCCAGGCGGCACAGACACACACGAGGATGTCGAAACCAATCACAATCGGAAAGACAGCAATACAGACCTTCCTTCATCAATATGAAACCAGTGTGGAGATCTTCTGCACTACACTGCACTCAGCATAAAGCGTCAACAACATCCCGATTTTCAACACCAATCTAGTCAAGTAAGTCAGTGCTTCTATCTGATGGTTGAGAGACTTGACGTGTCACGAAAGGCATTTCCAACAAACTACACACATACATCATCAACAGCTGCCACCTACGCTCACTCGATCCTGAAGATCAGATCAGATCAGATCAGATGGATGACCAGAATAATAAGAATAAGCAACAAGGATCTCACTTTGGCTGACTGGCTATGAACCAATGAAGCGAGAAGCTATCATGCAACAAATATGCAGGAGACGAAAGTGGAGATGGATTGGATTGAGCATCCACTGAGAAGGTGGATTGGAGACATGACGCGTGAGGCCAGGTTGTCGAGTGGAATGCAGTGGGGAAACGACGAGTTGGGTAGGGGAGTCGGAGTCGAGGGTGATATGGAGGAGAGAAGGTGTGAGGAAGAAATGAAAGCTTGTTGGTAGTGGTGTAGAGAGGTTCGAAAGACTGCAGAGAACTGGAGAGTGGAATGGAGGTGTGCTACTGAAGTCCTATGTTCTACTAGGAACCCAATGGAGAGATAAATAACTATATATTTTTGGTGAGTAGCTTCGAGAAGTGATTCCTTACGTTTCAATAAGAAGTCATGACTTATGGGACAAATCTGGTAGCCGTAAGGACAATTGCTCAATGACGACATTCAATGAAGGTCATGCTATTTCATGAAGTGATAGAAATTGGAAATATGAACAATTCCTGGTCACAGAACCTGAAAATCGTATGGGTACACACTACTGAAGAGTTTCCATATTATAACGAAACTCAATCTGTCAACCAAATATACCATCATCTATTTACTTTACACATTCTAAAAGAAGAGTGTTATATAGGGTGTAAATGAAAGTTATCAATAATTAGAATAAATAAAATCTGTTAAATCAATTTCGCATATAAATTAAGTTGATAACTAAATAATAAATAATTTTTCTTCTGAAAAAAAAAAGCTTGGAAAAAATTTCTCCACTCCCTCTCTCTCTCCCTCTCTCTGATCACAAACAATCATTTTTAAAGTTGATAACAAAAAGAAACCCTGTAGAAACAGAGACATCTACATAAACCATTATAAATAGAACCTGAGACATGCAGGATATTGATTGACAAAGATGTATATATACATATATATATATATATATATATATATATATATATATATATATATATATATATATATACGTGGATTAGGAAATCGTACATGATGGTGATTTTGAAGAGGTACGTCTAGTTGGTTGTGAAGTAGTTGTCTTGTTTTCAAGTGAAGCAGATAAAGCTAAAGCTAATTGAAAATCTTCTTCGTCTTCAATTGTATGCGAATTTGTACTATGTTGTATAACAGGAGATGATGATTGCAGATTAGTTGTCAATGATTCATCCTATTTGTATAAAAGTAATCGATTAAATTTTGATAAGTAAAGTAGAAACAAAAAACAACTCATTGTTGTATAAACTTTAGTATGATATTTGCGTATAACCTTGAAATAACTTACCAATACGGTTTTCACACCGTTGCTATTTTTCTCTCTCTCCCTTTCCTTTCAAGGCTGAACTCTCATTGGTTGTTAACTCTTTTAACCTTATATTTCGATTTAGTATTGTCAAGGTCGTTTATATATATATATATATATATATATATATATATATATATATATATATATATTCAGCATTGCTCACAGCTGTTGTTGAGACAGTAAAAAGCTCTCTATCAACCGTCCATTGTATATTAAATGTCTTAAAAAGTCAAATTACTCTGAAATATCTACGTCTACGTTACTCCAATTCCAACTGACAAAGTGAAAGCAGCATTACAATGGCATCAGTAAACTTTGTCTAAAAGAAAAAATTCATATGATAGTCAAGAAGATACATAGTATTCGTAGGAATATTATTATCATTATTTATTATTTGTCCCTTGGGTACCTAATGTAAAATAGGGATTCAGTAGCACGTCTCTAATGCACTCTGTTCCCTGAAATCTTTTGAACCTGGCTCCACGACAGCCCACAAGCTCTCATTTCCTTCTCGCACGATCTCCTCTACGTCACCCTCACCTCGAACGTCCAACTCGTCGTTTCCCATCTGAGTTCTACTCGAGTACCTGACGCGTGATGGTCCCCAGTCGGCTTTCTCAGTGTATGCCCAATCCATCTCCACTTCCTTCCACAGTATATTTGTTGAGCAATAGCTTCTTGCTTCATTGGTTCATCGCCAGTCAGCCAGAGTTCCTTGTTGCTTATTCTTTCTGGCCTTCCATCTGAGCTTCAGTAACAAGACAGTGTAGGCAGTTGTTGATGGATGTCTTTAGTTTGTTGGAAATCCCTTTCGTAACGCACCAAGTCTCTCAACCATCACATAGAAGCACTGACTTGATTGGATTGGTGTTGAAAATCCGGATCTTCTTCCACATGCTGAGTGCAGAAGATCTCCACACTGATTTTAGGCTAATGACCGCCTGTCTTGCTGTCTTTCCGATCCTGTCTGGCTTTGGCGTCCTCGTCAGTGCCGCCTGTAGTTGAAACAGTGCTGCCTAAGAGGGTACATGAAAGAGGCTACTTGTATAAGTTTCTCCCGTTCATGGTGATTGGAGCTTGTTGTTGTTGGTAGTGGCGTTGGTTGGGTATCTTCATTACCTCTGTGTTCTCTACGTTCACTTGAGGTCCCGTCTTCGCTGCCCTCCCTCTCTTCTGTCAACTTGTTGGATTTCGCCTGTAGATCTCCAAGTTTGTATGACATTAGACACAAGTCATCACTGGCAAAATCCAAATCTCTTAGGATCTTTTCCCCGGTCCAGCCAGCATATCCCCCTCTTTTCGCTCCTCACTGCTTCCTGCATGATCCAGTCGACCACAATCAGGAAGATCATAGGTGGTAGTGAACAGTTTTGTCTTGTCTTACTCCTGTCTTCACTTCAGTTCAAAAGCATCACTGAGCTTCCCATTGTGAATTACTTGGCATGTAGCGTCTTCATATAGTTGTTGAATGAGGTTGATAAAAGTTTATGGCTTTCCACAGTGTTGAAGCAACTGCCAAATTACTTCTCTGTCGAAGGCTTTTTAAAAATCGATGAAGTTGAGGTAGAGAGTTGACTTCCATTCTATGCCGTGTTCTATGATGATGGGTAGTGTAGCTTTGTGATCTGATCCGCGTATGAATTGTTCTTCCTGTTCAGGTCGTAATTCTGAATTCAGCGCATCCTTTAGTCTCTTCAGGATGATGCGCCTTAATATTTTGCTTCAGGCAGCATGATTCCTCGGCAGTTCTTGCAGAGACTTAGGTCGCCCTTCTTCCAACCGATCGGCAGGTACCTTTCCTTCCTTCCAGACCTTCTGCAACAGTGGTGTTGTATGAGCATGTCTGCTGTTGTCCCTGCATCTGTTCTCAGTGCTTCCGGCGGGATTCCATCTAGTCCTGCTGCTTTCTCGCATTTCAGTAGCTTTATGACATTCAGGACTTCGACTTTCGTTGTAACGTAAGTTCTGAGGATGTCATCAAGTTTCGTTATAAAATATCATAACTGAGAGTACATTGAACCTCATAATAAAAACAGTTATTACAATAAATAATGTTACCTTAGAAGTTGTAATCTTATTGGAATTGTTAAATATAGCTCTGTATAAAGCTGCTGCTCCAGTAGATGATAACTTTCTTGAAGTATTCTGATTCCCTTGAAATCCTTTACACTCATGGTCTAATTCATTACGATGTGAAATACAAAAATTTAATTTGCATCCATCACAAATAAATGGTACCAGTTCTTTCTTTTTACATCGATGCATACAACAGGCATTTGTAAATAACTGAAAAGTAAACACGGAAAATACAAGTATACATTTTATGAAAGCTATAATAATAATAATGATTATTTTGACTATCTGAGGTAGCCATTGGTTTAGAATATTAGATGAAATGAAAATCTGGACCACGGCAGGATTCGAACCAGCGACCATGGGGTGTTACCCGGCCCGGTTCAGTTGGTAGAGTATCAGGTCGCAATCAACCACTTCACTCTTTATTGTTAGTCAGGGGTATCGTTGAAGACCAGTTCCTAGAGTAACAATTTGCACTTGCATAGCAAGAAATACATATCAAACATTCTCAAGGTGTTCAACAATAAATAGGGTAAATTATTTTCTAACAAATGATAACTAAAAGAAACAATTTGCCTCCATTTCACAGCACAACTATCTGCCTCCTTCTTACTCAATACATAGTTAAAAAATAATCTTCACTATAGACCATATAGGGGATAATACATACATATGAAATAAATCTTATTGACATCGAAGTCAAGTGCTTATTACATAATAATCTTCATTATTCAAGGATATATTGTCAGACTTTAGTAAAGTTAACGTGGTTCTTACAAAATACACACATCATTCTAGGGAAAAGGGTATTCCAATACTGTAAATCGTTGAAAGGCTTCCACTTTAGGTGGCAGTTATTTTTAGTAATACTCTACAGAATTCTCAGTATATCATATAGCATCAGTTGGATACAGACAGTGTATATGAATACATAGAGAAAGATGAAATAAGTAGAAATTACACTGTTCCACCTAGAACTTTCTTGAAAATCTAGAGTCAAGTTGATTAGTGTTGGTTCATTTCTAACGCTTTCTTCCCCACAAAGGAGATGAGCTAAATAAGGTATTGTAGAGTTTTTATGTTGAGTAGTGAGTGCATAAAGTCGTATGTACTTTGCTTCTCGTCATTCCTGATGACCGACACCCAGAAAGCTTAGAGTGAACAGGATACCGGTCATCTGATAAAATAACCCCTACCGGATGGTTATATGTGCTATTATGTTTGTCCACAACCGTTTTGCCTGGAAGCTTTGGAGGTACACCAGTAGTTCTACTAACAATCTTCAAAGCTCTACGCAATATAGCATAGTCTTTCTTCAACAATCCGGGAAAAAATAAAGGGGAGCAGTAGAGGAGGAGAGGCAAGATATAGGAGTTTATAAAACACAGGAGGAGAGGCTGAGTAATATCAGATACTCTCAGCTTCCTTATGTAGAAAGTTAGGTGGGAAATCCTTTTGGAAATTAGTAACATATGAGAGGACCAGTAAAGGTTCAAAGTAAAACACACACAGAGATAAATCACATTTGTAACATTCTCTAATACGCAACTATCAATAGAACAGGAATAACGAGAACTAAGCAGTTCATGTCTAAAACTAAAGTTTATAGTCTGACACTTCAAAGAATTAAGCACAACACTATTTACGGAAGACGATCATCTAACAGTAGATAGGAAATCATTCAGTTGGGAACAATCTGCTGAAGAGGAGGCAAGTATGGAAGCTATCAGGTCATCAGTATATTTGATGAGATTCATACTAGCTGAAGATGTTAAGTCATGTAGAAAAGAAGAGAAAAGACAGGGGGAAAGGATGGCTCTTTGGGGCACACCAGTTACAGTCAGCAATGAGATGGAGCACTTCCCTCCATGAACAGTACATTATTTCGATTCAGATAAATAGGAATACAGCCAGCTGATTATCCACAACTCAGTATTTGTCCCAGTTAGACTGTCCAGCAAAAGACACTTTGGGACAGAATCAAATGCTGAAGTATGGTCTGAAAAGGTACACTTGACATACTTGTCATTTTTATCAAAACTATAAGGAATATCGCGATATAAGAGAGTGGTGGCGTCCAGAGTGCTTCTTCTGTTTTCATATGCAAACTGATTAGGGTCTATGAAAGACTTCAGTGAGTGTTAAAGCGCAGGTATCATTAGCTTCTCCATTATTTTCAAGAACGGAGAAGTAACTGCAGTCAGACGGAATTTCGAACATGCGAATGGAGGTCCTTGACTTAGGTACGGAGATTATCTTGACATTTTTCTAGACAGGTAGTATGGTGTGCTCTGAAAACGATCTGCTGAACATGTTACATAATGGATGGCATAAAATATCAGCACACTGTGTGAAGGGTTCACGGATTTAAGACATTTGAAAACATCTTTCTCGGTAAATTTTGGACATTTTTCCTTGGAAATGTGTGGATAAAATGAGATAGGACAAGTAGGTTGGCATTCTTATATGTGTCGAATAGAACTACGTGCACTGATGTGTCATATATTCAAGGAAGGTCTTGAGGAGCTCCAATATTCTTAGGACGATGTCTAGCATGATATTGAAGAGTTTGCCAACCGAAATAATAGGTCACAGAACAACTCACTCTGAACATCAAAAAATAATGGTAATAATAACGTGCACTTAGCCACCCTGTGCACATCCATGCAGTAGGCAATTAGGCACACCTATTGTGTGAGAGGTAGTGATACTATCTGACTGGCGAAACCTCGGTAAAAGGAGAGGGATTTGAACCTGTGATCCACTGGTTGACAACCATTTCCCTTTACCACACTCTGAACATGACAACACTACAATTCATTTTGTTAATTGGATGTCTAATTCATCAATCATGTAACTGGAGAAGATTATACTCGACAGTATAATTACTTAAACTATATGAAATTAAGAAATCTATAAGTATATAATGAACTCATCTATGAACAGGTAAAATACTTATGCGATGCTCAAGTCCATCCATCCATCCAGACCGACCTAGGACCAGGCATTACTGAGTAACGGTCCGAGTTCCCACACTTCGTATCACTACATCAAGTAGAAAGTTAGTGAGGTGAAAGATAAAAATAACAAAACTCAGTCAAAAGAAATATAAAGTACAAAAAGAGAGTAACGAAGGATGAGAAAGTGATGAGATTCGGTATAGCGTCGTTAACATGTGGATAATGTGTGTGTATGGAGATACATATGCCCCCCTGACATCGATTCTCAGCCACATGATCATCAAGAGTCAGTCTCCAACCACTGGTTCCTCTTGTCACGCCGACCCCAACCACCTAGTCTCCATCGCCCCACTCACATGGCTCAAACCAACAATCACAGACTTCATACATTCATGCCATGTTTTAGTCTGGCCACCTCATGTCTTTTCCAGACTCGACCTACTTCAGCCAACATTGTGTGACGAGACGATCAGTGACTAGGCATACGTAACACCTGTCCCAGTCAGCCATGTCAGTCGATCAAGGTTCACAACCTCGTCAGCTGATTTACCTCTACTCCCTAAAACTCTATACCTGACTTCTGCATTACTCACATGGTGACACCACGGAATACGGCCTATAATACGAAGGTAATGGTGGTCAAACACTTGAAGCCTTCTCATGTCTTCCACCTACAATGTCCATGTTTCACAGCCATGTAGTAGAAGAGAATGGACTGGTGTGCAGTATACGCGATATTTAGTAGACAATCGGATATCACGGCGGCGCTATAGGTGGCGTAAGTTGGTGAAGGTCAATGGAGCCTTTTGTATCCGTGCAGAGATTTCATCGGCTACTGAGCCATCAGGGCTGATCCTACTTCCCAGGTAAGTAACTGTAATATAAGTGGAGAAAGTAAGTGATAAGAAGGATGTGTTACCTCATTTGTACATTTTTCTAGTTTATGAAATTTCAGAAATTGACTCTATTATATAATGTTCAACTTAAGGATAGTTGTCATAGTTAGCTACAGCATATCAATAGTTCAGCAGTCAATCTGTGTACTCCATCATCCAGGATATCAGAGTTGTTATGACAAAGGAAGTAGTTCAATTATTATTAAGTCGACTTGAAACAAATGTCCCAGAAAGACAGAGGAATAAAATCAACGTAGAACCTCTTACACAAGTATATCGATCTAAGCTGCCACACTTCATAGTAGTACACAAAGAACAGTCGGATAGAATAAGAGTGATATCAAAGTGGATAAAGTAGTGTGAAAGAATAAACAATTTGAATATAATGATTTGTGCAAACATTAAAGTTTTTAGAAGACATGAAAGATTGAATATATCTGTGCCATTGTGACCGATTTTCAGCCATGTCACCAAGAGTCCTCAACCACTGACTCCTATGGTCTCGAGGACCTCAACCAAGTAGTCTATACCTCTCCCCTTACATAGCTCACACTAGTAGTCAGAGATTTCATCGCCTGGCACCACGCCTTGTATACACAACACATATTCAAGTCACCTTAGTCAATCAACACTCACAACTCTACTGACTGACTCGACTGTCTTGCCTAGTACCTTCCGCCTAACCTACAACATGGTTCACACGATGATTCCACCAAACGTAAGCAATGATAGGAAGACACTTGTTTCACAGCTGTGTAACAGAACAGAACGTACTGCAGCCTAGTAACTCATTCTTTGATAAGTAGTTGGATATCTCGACATTCGGCGCCAGAGATGATACAGGTTGGTAAATGCCAAATGGTCCTTCTCTTTCCAAACTGAGATAAGGTAAGTGTCGATCAACAATGAGGTGTTTTATTTTTATTTTCCAGTATACAATTCAAGATAATGAAGGTTAGACAGTGAAGTAATTTCATCAATCTATAATTGTACTATTTTGTTGCATAAGCCAGAAGTATGACTCGTATAACAGAGTTGATTATTCATTTAACCCAAGATGGAAATAGTCACGGTAAGATAAATACAATAAATGATTAGAACAAATGCAGGGATCAACAACGAAAAGAGGAACTGAACACAACCTATAAAACACTACACACAGAGTGCGTGCAAAGACAAAAGACACTTCAACGACACACTTGCAAGTGAGCCAGAACAGGCTGCAGGTAGGAGAGATTTGACAACATTATATCAAATAACCTGGGGTGGAAGAGATCAACACAGATGAAACCAATGAAAGATGATGAAGGAAATCTAATTACCAAAGAAGAGAAACAAAGGAAACGACGGACCGACCAATTAAAAAAACTCTTGAATCGACCACCACCTGCAACTCGTTCAGAAAATACCATCAGCAGCCTAGCTACAGAATTATCAGTGAACATAAGCCCTCCGACAAAAGCAGAAGTCCTGAACGCCATAAAGTTACCGAAAGTCGGGAAAACAGCAGGACCAGACAGAATTCCTCCAGAAGCACTGAAAATAGACTCAGAGACAACGGAGAACACGCTCACACCACTATTGCAGAAGGTTTGAAAGGAAGGAAGGAAAGGTATCCACCGATCGATTGGAAGAAGGGCTAACTTGTCAAACTCCCAAAATAGGGTGACATAAGTCTTTGCAAGAACTAGCACGGAATCATGCTCTACAGGTATCCACCCCAAGCAAAGTATTATGCCGCATCATTCTGGAGAGACTAGAGGATGCTCTGCATTCAAAATTACGACCGGAACAGACTGGCTGGATTCGGTGAGTACAAATCATGTGCGGATCAAATTGTAACGCTACGCTACCCATCATCATAGAACAGGGCATACAATGGCACTCAACTGGATGTTTGCCTCAACTTCATCGATTTTGAAAAAGCCTTCAACAGCGTCGACAGAGAAGTAATTTGTCAGCTGCTTCAACACTACGCTTTTAGTGCCACAAACCCTTATCAACCTCATTCAACAGCAGCTACATACTATACGAGGATGCTACATGCCAAGTGATTCACAACACAATCGAAAGCTCAGTGATGCCTTTGAAGTGAAGACAGAAGTAAGACAAGGTGGTTGCCGCCTACTATCACTAATGATCTTCCCGCTTGTGGTCGACTGGACAGGACTGGATCATGCAACAAACTATGAGGAGTGAGAAGATGGGGCAACGCTGTTCAACCGACGAAAAGACCATAGAAGATTTGGATTTCACCGATGACGATTAATGTCTAATATCTTATATTGCACAAACTCGAAGATCTACAGGTGAAAACTAAAAAGTTGGCAGAAGAGGCGGGGCAGTGAAGACGGGACTTCAGGCGAACATAGAGAACACAGAGGTGATGAAGATATCGAACAGCAACAACAACAACAACAACAACGAGCACTATTTACTATTAACGGGAGAAATCTAAAGGAAGTTCTCTTTCACCTATATTCATAGGCAGCATCGTCTCAACTACAGGTGGCGGCACAGACGAGGATGTCAACACCAGAATCGGAAATACAGCAAGATGGGCCTTCCTTCATTAATCTGAAATCACTGCGGAGATCTGATGTACTGCACTGGACTCAGCATAAAGCGTGAACAAGATCCGGATTTTCAACACTAATGTCAGTCAAGTAAGTCAGTGCTTGTATGTGATGGTTGAGAAACTTGACGCGTTATGAAAAGCATTTCCAATGAACTATAGAAATACATCAACAGCTGCTGCCTATGCCCACTTCATACTGAAGAGCAGATCAGATGGCCAGAATAATAATAACTATGCAGAAGAAAGTGAGGATGGATTGGATTAGACGTACACTGAGAAGACCTTTTGCAGACATATAGCGGCAGGCCAGGCCCTCAAGTGGAATCCGAAGGGGAAACAATGAGTTGGGAGTCCAAGGCAAGGATGATATGAAGGAGATTGTGTGAAGAAGAAATGTAAGCTTATGAGAGCAGTCGTGGAGCCAGGTTGAAAAGACTGCAGAGAAGAGAGTGAAATGGCGACGTGCTACTGAAGTCCTATGTTCCACTAGGAACCTAGAGTACAAATAAATATGTTTCAGCAATCTAAAGTCATAATATCATTCTATCTTTTTCACTAACATCATTCGATAACATGAAACTTCATTGAAAACGTTTCAATAATCAAGATTGATCTTGCCTTAAGATCATGTTACAAAAAGTGGATAGTAACTTAAACATACAGTTATAACTTACTTTTCCTTTTAACTCTAAAGCTGGTTTTGAACGACATGCTGTATCTATATGATTACCCACTTGTACATCTGGGAGTTCTCCTGGTCTTAGAGGAACAATTGTCCCGCATAAAGGACATACAGGAACCTGTTTATCTTGAATATCAGGATTTTTGCAATTATGACTATTATATGAATAATGATCCTTGCAAAAAATACTATGACATCCAGAGCATTGAACAGGCAGAAAATCTAAAATAATGCAAACAGTAATAACATAAACATACCAAGCTTTCGACAAGTTGATACTGCACAATTTGCTCCGAGATTAGGGAACTCCATCAGAAAACCTATTATATTCGGAAATATCTTTTTAAAGTATTAATCTGATTCGTATTCTGTAGTAACAGATAGTAATGTGGTCAATTGAAGTACCTATAAAGGTAAAAACTAAACTTAATAGTATATACCTAACAGAAGATGAAGTAATTTGATAAAGTATTTGACGCAAATATCATCTTAAGGAGAGAAAAAATGATAATGAGCAATTGCAACAGCATGGCTGGACCACAAATACAAATCGGTAACACTTATAAGTAAATCCAAAAGAAATGAAACTTCTATTTGGGTCTCATATGCCAGCAACAATCAGTGGTTATAATTTAAACGAGCAATATATCTCATAGTACAAAATGACATCAAGAGATATCTCAAAAGAGTAAATAACAATACATTGCTCTTCGATACAAATACATAAAGTAGTGATGCCTGGTTAACTAGTTCACTAGTTACTAGACGATCCTAAGCCCGGGTAAAGAGGGAAGGTTGGGCGTAGGTTTGGAAGGAAGAAAAGGTACCCGCCGATCGATTGAAAGAAGGGCTACCTGGTCAAACTCCCAAAGGAGCGAGATCTAAGCCTTTGCAAGAACTGGCGAGGAATCATCCTCCACAGTTATCCGCCCCAAGCAAAATATTATGACGCATCATCGTGGAGAGATTAAAAGATGCTCTGCATTCAAAATTACCACAATAACAGACTAGCTGGATTAAGGAAGAACAAATCATGTCCAGATCAAATTGCAACGCTACGCTACACATCATCATAGAACAAAGCACAGAATGCCAGTCAACTCACTACCTCAACTTCATCGATTTTGAAAACGCCTTCGACAGCGTCGACTGAGAAGTAATTTGGCAGTTGCTTCAACATTACGGAGTGCCACAAATATTTATCAACCTTATTCAACAACTATATGAAGACGCCACACGCCAAGTGATCCACAATGGAAAGCTCAGTGACGCCTTTGAAGTAAAGACAGAAGTAAGACAATACAAGGCTGTCTACTATCACCCATGATCTTGCTGATTGTGGTGGAATGGATCATGCAGCGAACCATGAGGAGCGAAAAGATGGGCAAACGCTGTTTGACCGATAAAAAGACCCTAGAAGAAGAATTGGATTTCACCGACGATGATTTATATCTAGTGTATTATGTCGCACAAGCTCGAAAATCAACAGGCGAAAACTTACAAATTGACAGCAGAGGCAGTGAAAACAAGACTTCAAGTGAATGTAGAGAAGACGAAGGTGATCAGAATACCCAACCAACAACAAGAGGCACCAATCACAATCCATGGGAAAAACCTAAAGGAAGTTGTCTCTTTCACCTACCTAACGTAGACAGCATCGTTTCAACTTCAGGAGGCACAGGCACACACGAGGATGTCAAAACCAACCACAATCGGAAAGACAGCAATACAGACCTTCCTTCATCAATCTGAAACCAGTGTGCAGATCTTCTGCATTACACTGCACTCAGCGTAAAGCGTGAACAACATCCGGATCTTCAACACCAATCCAGTCAAGTAAGTCAGTGCTTCTATCTGATGGTTGAGAGACTTGACGTGTCACGAAAGGCATTTCCAACAAACTACACACATACATCATCAACAGCTGCCACCTACGCTCACTCGATCCTGAAGATCAGATCAAATCAGATCACATGGATGACCAGAATAATAAGAATAAGCAACAAGGAATTCTGACTGACTGGCTATGAACCAATGAAGCAAGAAGCTATCATGCAACAAATATGCAGGAGACGAAAGTGGAGATGGATTGGATTGAGCATACACTGAGAAGTCGGATTGGAGACATGACGCGTGAGGCCAGGTTGTCGAGTGGAATGCAAAGGGGAAACGACGAGTTGGGTAGGGGCGTCGGAGTCGAGGGTGATATGGAGGAGAGATGGTGTGAGGAAGAAATGAAAGCTTGTGGGCAGTCGTGGAGCCAGTTTCTGAAGACTGCTGAGGAAAGTGGAATGGAGGCGTGCTACTGAAGCCGTAGGTTCCACTAGGAACCGAGGGGGAAAATCAATCATATAATATAATAATATATCATAGTACAAAATAACATTACGAGATATCTCGAAAGAGTAAATAACAATACATTGCTCTTCGATACAATACATAAAGTAGTGATGCCATTTAACTACCCAAAAAAGCTGTAATACTTAGATCACTCTACTGGAAGTCACTTCTAACTTCTACTTCTTTAAAAACTGACAATGAATAACACCAGTTTAGCACTAATAATCCCAATGAGACAAATTTCTGAAGTAAAAAGTGGTGACACTTGAATGGCAATTCATAAGTTGACGGATTTTCCAATTGTTCCTTAGCAACATAACTGTAACTTGCATCTAAAATTATTTAGGATTTTTTATATCACATTTATTTTGGATTTAATCACTGAAAATCTAGAATGGTCCCTAAAAACATTTCAACTTTACTAAGGAGTATTTCATGCACCATTCAGATATTATTCCTTCAGGATGTAACTTGGGTTATTGAAGGACATACTGACAAAATCAACGTAGAACCCTGCACACAAGAGTATCGGCTCAAGTTGCTAGACTTTACAAAGAACAGGTGCATAGAAAAGGAGTGATATTAAAGTAAACAAAGTCCTGAGAAGATATAGGTTCATATGAATATTCAAATTTTAGAAGACGTCAAAGAGTGAATACATCTGCGCCACTGTGACCCATCACTAGCCATGTCACCAAGAGTCCTTAACCACTGGTCCCTATCGCCTCAGAAACTCCAGAAAGGTAGTCTACACCACCCTACAGGGCTCAAACCAACAATCAAGCACTTCATGGACTAATATTGCACGTCTCAATCTGACCATCCTGAACTCATTTCCAACCTAGTCCAATTTCTTTCAGTATTCAACGTCGAAGCAGGCGGTATATGGGCTCCCCGCACACAAGTCCCACCCACTTCAGTTGCTGAAGATACACGGTCAAACTGACTGACTCATCTTCCTTGCCTGGTATCCTTTGTCTAACCTCAACATGACTCACACGATGATTCCACTAATCCCAAGCAATGATAAGAAGACACTTGTGGTAAAAAAGCTGCAGTCTTTTTATATCTCCCTAGATTTAACACACAGACGCATAACAAGATAGAATAGAATGTAACGCAGTATACTCTTCCTTCAACAGGTAGTCGGATATTTTGACAGTTGGTGCCAGAAATGGCCCACGTTGGAGAAAGCCAAACAGGCTTTCTGTATCTAGGCTGAGATTTCGTTAGCAGTCAACCCATTTCGGTCGATGTAATTTTGCAAGGTAAGTAATGAATCCATTCTGTAATTTCTCGATCTTTAAACTTAAGCAACTGCAAGTCAGTCCTGAATTATCATTTTACAATTGACAGATACGAAATAGATGCCAAAAGTATTCAGATTCCAGCTGAAAATGTTTAGAAGGTCCTGAATTTGATCAGCGACTTCGTCTAACCAAATTGTATCATCTGGAAATTCAAAGTTAACCAGGTTTCGTCCAGAGAATGAATAAATGCCTATGAATTCGGAAGTATCTAAGGTTATATCCATCAGTATATCTATAATCAGATTAAATATGGAGGTCGATAACGAGTATTTTCGGTGGACACCAATGGTTGTCGTCACTTCAGATGACTTTTAAGCGAAAGGTCTAACTGACCAATCACCTTTCTTTACGAGATGGAATTTCTACCAATGACGTTACACACTAATCTCTTCTCAATTTCAAGTTGGCATTCATCAAGGACTGACATCAGTTTGAGAAACATTGGAAACCTGGGAGCATTGGGAAGTTATTTCATCCTAGTAAGGGACTTCTCATCAGTATGTACTCGTGATCCCACCGAGAATCGAATCTAGGATCTTCAAGTTCCGCAGCCAACACGTTACCGTTGAGTCATGGGGTCAAAATTCGTTGGTCTATATTTCCTAATATTGTCAGTTCAGGATATAGAGCAACCATCATTCAATGTCATTTTTCTTATTTCTTTTCTAAAGTAGAAATACTCAGATAAAGTCACAATACTAGGTGATTAAGCTCAATGGAACCAGAAAATCACAAAGCATTTGAATCATCCTAGGATGAACTGGCAAGTAATATGTGATCAAATACTTCGTCTGATGATAAGTAATGTTTTTATATTCGAGATCACATTCTCAAACATAATCAACACTAAATGTGATTTCCGAATTCAAGAAATGCAAATGCATGGTAAAAGTTTGTGGACTTGGAGAATGATAGGAAATAATCACAAACAACTTTACTTTTTAGTTTTACCCAAAATAAACTCCAATAATGCGGTCTTAATGTAAACTGACTTGAAAGTATGACCGTTTATTTCAAGTTATCCAACGAGTTCCTGCAGTAAACCATTGTGTTGCCTTGGCATACATAGCTTTGTCTAGCAAACATCGTTAAACATGATTAAACCAGATAACATAGAGTATAGAAGTTAAGATTCTGATTGATATGACAACTACCTCCAATCGTAAAAGCATCCAACAAACTGAGAAGTGAAAAGGAAGGAAACTTATACCTGTAATCCCCATTTACATAATCTACTACTTATTGCATTAAACATGTTAAAAGCTCAAAGAAATGTAGTTCGAAGAAATGTGCAACAAAACGAAATGATAATGACGTGCAGATATTGGAGATTAGATAACAATAGAATAATCAAAGAACAGTAATACTTGGGAAAATACTAAACGAGAACCCAATCAAAGCAGGATTTGTTACATATATAAATAATAACCGGAAACAGAATCTGGGCTACCACGCTATACAATTCGGTATAAAAAATCAGAGAAGTTAGGCAACAGAGACTCATCATCATCGTCAATATCAACCTAGGACCAGGCATTACTGAGCAAAAAGTTCGAGTTGCCACACCCCATATCACTACATCAAGTAAAAAGGCACTGAGGCGCAAGACGAAGATAACAAAACTCAGTCAAAAGAAATATAAAGTACAAAAAGAGAGTAACG